TTGCAGGCGGATATCTGATGTGATAAAAGTCCGGTGTCTAGATTTCTCAGCATCAACTCGCTGAAGAAGCATTTTTAGCTTGAGAAAGGATAGATACAACAAAGTTGAAGCAGGAAGTAAGAGAAATATAGACTAACCTGCTTTGACAACCGAATTATATGGGATAATAATCCTCGCATCCTTTCCTCCACACACTGCAAGCGCAAATACATGAGAAAAGAGAAAAGGAAGCAGCTCAAGTAATGTATGCAAACAAGTCACAAGAATTTGAACTCTCACCAAAGACAAGCACCGTTCAACATCATTGCTTATCTGCTTTAAACCGGTTTTCGCCACTGCCAGATAGAGAAACATATGTAAGTAGAACTCCAAGTGATTCAATAACTAGTAATTAAAATAAAGGAAGATAAGGGTAGTATCCAAACTAATTTCCGCCAGTTTTCTCTGCAGCGGATTTTTCTGCAAGATTAATCTTTCTTCTTCTTCGTGCACAACTCTCCGAGATGCTTCAGAAACACGAGCATCCTCCTTGGCCCCAGAGAATAATTGTTCTTCCTCTTCCTAAACCAAATGCAGACAAAAAAAAAAAGATTTAATCGGTAATCTCCAGATTCAAATTGAAAACTGAATCTACCAGGAAACGCACCCTGAGATTAACACCACTGACTGCAGTGACATCATTGAGCTGTTCAATACTTTGATCCATAGAATTCCCTGCTACTTTTTGCTTCTTACTGCAAGTTGAACCATGCAAAACAATTATGATTTTATTTTACAACAGAATTTTCTTACTAAAATTTGGCTAACGGAGAAAGAGTGACTTAGGAAAATTGTTCCCCATTTCTAAGCCTGAGCAGATCAATTACCTTGGTGGTGGAGGTGAAGATCCTAATGTCTCAAGAGGTTTTTTCTGCCCAACAGAAGGCTTTTTGGGTGGGATCCTGGCATTAATTCCTCCTTGAGAGGTTCCCAATGGGGCACGAGAATTCATCTGATGGATACACAAACAATGTCAATGAGAGATTGTCCAACTGAAACTTTTTATATTAGAAACTATAAAACCCGAAACAAAGAAAAACAATAGATGCTAAGGTTGTTACAAATAACAAGGAAAAAAGCAAGGGCTGTTGACACTCCACGGTTTCTCCACAAGCTCAAAGAGATAAACTTTTAAAATGAGAAAACTATATATTAATAGAGCTCTTACTGTTGTGCTAGCGTCTAGTTGAGTTGTCATGGAAGGAGAAACAGAGCTTGCAGGCGCCATGTTGTTAGGTGTGGATAAAACCATTCTAGAGGACTCCTTCTGTAAGTCCTCATTCAAAGTCACTGAGGCTGCATTATTCTTTTCAAAACTTTGATCAACTGATTCCTGCTTAACATGGGATACTGATGATCCTTGACCAGGTGCAGAATTTAGAGGTGATGATGAGCTGTTCTGGAAGTGCGATGTAACACCACCTTGAACCCTATTTGGATCATTTACAGAACTTGGCCTCTCAAATTTGGGCATAGTCATCATGTTTGTGGTAGACTGGGGTGGTCCTCCAAGACCAGTTGATCCCATAGTCTGATTATGTCCCCCATGTCTCATATGGGAATCATGAAGGTGGGGTCTCAACGAAGAACCAGAAGCATTGGTGTTTGGACCGGGGTATGTGTGAAAACTACCAGAGGTAGTATACATAGGAAAAGAACTTGGTGGATGCTGCATCTGATGTTGCGGATGTTTGGTAAGTCCCTGCACCGTAGATGAACTCCCTAAGGTGCCTGAAGTTGAGGAAGGTAGTTGGTTAAGGTGGACTGCACGAGGATCAGACTGAGATTTCTGATTATTGATTTCTGCGATTCAAAATAGATATAATCAGGTAAGATACAGGCTCCTGCATGGAAATTATAAGATATATCTGCGGAGAGTATAGAAGCTTTCTAATAAAAGTGAACAAAAAATAAAAAGAACTGATCAGTGAATAGTTTATACCAGTAGGAGCTTGAATCCCAGTTTTTCCCTGGTTATAGTTCATCTGAAAACAATGAGCACAGATTATAAATAAAGAAGAATCTAGACCCACTTAATGACACCCATGGAAAAAATGCTTAGAAGTACAGCAATTTCAACTCTTCAACGATTTACAATTCTTTTTTGATGGAATTACGAACCCAGTTCAAAAAGAAAAACCTTTATTAAAATAGTAGAGAACAGAACAAAGTAAAACCTTCCAAAGGGAATGACTTTAGTTCTGTCGAGACACCAATAAACACCAAATTCTTGGAAGAAGTTCATAAACGAGCTTCAACCTTATAAATATAGGAAAAGTTAACTCCCAAACAAAAAAGGGAAAGAAAAGAAAAAAAAAATCCTACTGTAATAAGTAAAGAAAAAAAAAAATGGAAATCCTACTTAGTATGGGTATACTTGAACTAGTCACACTTTGCATACGTTGACCACAAACTTTGGAAGTATAAATTTTATCACCCTTTTAACATGTCCACTAAAAAATATAAGATATAGTGTGAAAAAATGTGTGGAAAAAGTCAGTAAAAATTATATGATTAATCATTCCAGGGATAAGTCTGATAGTTAGAAAGAATTATAATTGCTAAGCTAGTGTTTTATAAAAGAGTAAAAATATGGACGTTTAAGGTTTAAGGTTTTGCCTCATTCATGAAGCCACTGCAAGGTAGAGTGAAAGCGAGAAAAGATGCAGACAGTGAAAATACAACCTTCTGGTTAAGGATTTTGCAAAAGAGGCCACAAAGAAAATACGAAAACGTATGAAACATTTGTTGATCTCTTAACATTGTACCCCAAGTCTGTTTTCTGGTTTTAGTTACTACATGACACAAAAAGGTAATACCTGCTGCAGTTTACTAACTGCCAACCGGAGCATCTGATCGCCTACAATATCCTTCATATGTCTTGTGAACCCCTCTTTGGGGATTTCATTTTTCTGCAAAATAAGTATCAGAAGGAAAGCAATGATATTACAATAGCTCTGGAACAGAATGTCAAATGATTTCACTGATAGACATACCTTAAGTCTAGCATATAGGGTACGGAGCTGCAGTGCTCTATCTTTATCAAGTTGGGCCATTAAGGTAGGAAGCAGAGCAGCAAATGGTACTTGCTTAGGGTTTCGGTTCATAGGGTTAACAGATGGTTCCACTACCCGAGCCTGTTGACTACTCATCTTTTGCAGTTTCACATACTGAGATTCACTCTCTTGAATATTATGTGGTCTATCTGGTTCATTACCAGTAGGATTCTTTTCAGAAATTGGCAACCCAGTTGTTTGGGGTACCTGCGATGGATTCTCCCACAGTTGACCTGCTCGATGAATGTCTTGAGGCTGGTTGTGTTGTAAATGAGATTCATTGGCTCGTTTCAAATCATGTTGATGTTGATTTTCTAAACTCGATCCTTGTTGCTCCTTCATCTGAGTACTTTCAAGGCTGTGCTGCGTCTGGACATTGATATTAGCATCTCCAATACTATTCTTCCATGGCGCAAACTGCTGGCTGGGAGGATGGTTGTTTCCTATAGACATAATTCAAGCAATTGGTTGATAAATTTCGAATCACAAGATAAACTGGAGGAAAAATCAGATAATGCCCAAAAAGGGATAAAAGGCAGGTTTTTGTTGTTGCGGATGATGCATACAAAATGCATATTCAGTAGCTTTCATACACCTACCCACAGATCACAACCTAATTGTATTTCAATATTTTGATGTGGAGCAAATGGAAATAGATCACTTCCACCACCAGAGACAGAGAAAATAAAAATTTAAGCTATTGCCAATGAAAAAATACATGCTACTATTAGCGTACATCAGCCCTTAACAACTAGTCTTTCATGACCTTCATATTTTGAAACTGTTATGTATATCGAAACGAGCACAAATTTGCTAACATGCCAAAAGCTTCCCAAGATACCTAATAGCTTCACAGTGACAATTCAGTTTCTCATTACACTGAATCAAGCATCCACCCTAAGAGAAACCCACAAGTAAAAATCCTATCTTTACTCCTAAATAGGTCCATAAGTTCAAGAATTTGACACAGAGTTCCCTCAGAAACAATTCAAATACGTTCTGCAACTCGTAAACAATAGTATTCAAACTTCAGCTCTCATCACAAAGCAGGCCTAGAATCTAACTAGCCCTATCTTAAATTCCAATTTGTAGAGAACCATACCAGGATTTGTCCCGAGGGGCATTGAAGTTGTCATAGAACCTTCAATATCTCGATTCAGAGCAGCCTGGAACGCATCTACGTCAGCTCCTGAATGCATCGATTCATCCTGACCAACACAATTCCACCGGAATCAAAAACCACGACGACGCTTCCAGCCACCGAGTAAGGCATCGAACAAAATTGGGTTTTGAAAACATAAATGAGGTAAGAAACCTAACCTCGTCTTCTTCAAGGAGCTTGAAGATTGATGGATCCATTGAATTAAAAGCTCAAGCTTTGGAAGAGAAGGCAAAGAAAGAGACCTCTCGGTGAAAGATGAATTAAAAGGAAACAGGTGTTCGTAAATTTCAGAGTGAGTCCTTATATAAATATTAAATTACATATGAATCTTAAACTAAACCTCATGTCGTTTGTTTCTTTTTAAAAAGCACAACATGTCGTTTTTTTAATTTATGAATCGAAACGCTTTGTTTACTGGTTTTGTTTAAGAACTGCATGTCGTTTAATCTTTGAACCAAAACGCTGTCGTTTACTCTGTTGCGGTGCCGCGGAAATTGAGGTATATTAAACCCCATGTCGTTTATTTAGGTTTTTAAAGCACTGTATGTCGTTCTTATGAATTTACCTAAACGCTGTCGTTTACTCATTCCGTGGCCTGTTGCGTGGGAGAGAGATACAACAAACGTCATGTCGTTTAATTGTTTTGTCTAAGCACTGTATGTCGTTTTGATGTTATGTCAAAAACGTCGTCGTATTTGTTCTGGTACATGGATAGAGATACATCAAAACAGTGTAAAAGCTAGCTGCCGCCATTAACGAAACATCGGAGAGAGATCAATCAAACTTTGAAAGAAGAATGAACATCGTTGGATTAAGCAAACGTCTCTTCTCCGATCGTCGTCGTTCTCTTCACGGAATCAACAATGCCCTCGTCGGAACTGTGATCTCCGGTCGAAAACCTATTCTGGGATTCTCCGGCCGATCGTTTCACGAGCTGCGCAAGGCTGGGAATTTCGTAGTCCCTCGTGTCTTCTCCGTGTCGCGGAATCTATCGACGAATGCTTCGTCTCCTTCGAAACAGCCTGCGTTTCTGAGATGGTATTTGAGGAAGCTTGAATCACACCCTTTCATGACTAAGAGCGTCACTACTTCGCTTATTTATATGGCCGCTGATCTCACTTCTCAGGTTTGGCTCTCTTCGTGTGTGGAATTGGGTTTTGAATCATTGTAGGTTTGGAATTTAGGGTTCATTCTCAGGGGATTTTGTAAAAGTTTTGAAATTTATCTTTGATTTAGGAAGAAAACACCAATCTTGCATTGTGTCATACCTAGAGAATTTCAAATTGATGTGTATAAGTATCTTTGACACATGAAGTGTTTTCGTAGTCGAAGAAATGGTTTACTTTAGTATAGAATAGCTGAAATAGCACTAAAAGCTGTGATTTTGTTTTTGGTTTGGTTGGTGTTGTTTTAATCCTATCTTTGGTCAAGTCTGTGTTCTCAACTGTTGTCTATTTTGGTATGTGAGACTCTATTTAGTGTTTACTGAACACTAATACCATGCCAATAGACTAGGCTGTATGTTTTCTTTTGTGAATTTGAAGTCTTTCTGTACTGAATACTGGATGATTTTGGTGTTTGTTTGGTCGCTTGTGGATTCTTATAAGGCAGAAAAATTTTAGGTGTGTATCTTGGGGTGTTATAAACCCTCTTTTACAGTCATTCTATGATCATGTTGTGGATAGCTTCCCTGGATAAAATACAGAACTATTACAGAGAAAGGAAACTAGAGACCCTTTTGTTGTTTTTGTTTGTTCTGACTCTATACATTCTTCAACAGATGATCACAATGCCGCCATCTGGTTCTTTTGACCTGATAAGAACAGCAAGAATGGCTAGCTTTGGGTTGATATTTCTCGGGCCATCACAGCATGTGTGGTTCAGTTATCTTTCTAGAATATTGCCAAACCGTGACGTGTTGACAACCTTTAAGAAAATTATGATGGGGCAGGTTCTTTTCGGACCTTGTAGCAACACAGTCTTCTATTCTTATAATGCCATTTTACAAGGTACATATATCATAATTAAGCTTATCGATTGAATTGTTATTCGTCATTGTACCTGTAAATTCATCATACTCATCACGTGTTTCGGTACTCTCATGTTGCTGGTCCATATTAAGGTGAAAATTCTGGCGAAATCTTGGCGAGATTGAAGCGAGATCTTCTGCCAACATTGAGAAATGGACTGATTTATTGGCCGGCCTGTGATTTTGTTACATTCAAGTATGTGCCAGTTCATCTACAGGTAAACCAAATATCTCTCTTTTACTACTTTGTCCACTGTTTGGTATGATCTAAACAAAACATTCAACTTCGAACATGTAAATCTCTTGGTTGCAGCCACTGATGAATAGCTCGTGCGCATACATATGGACGATTTATTTGACATATATGGCAAACCAGACGAAAGCTGAATCTGATTGATGGATGACACTATTATTGGTCACACGCAATTCTATTTCTTTATTTCATTGAATTAGTTGAACTGAACATCAGATATTAGTAATAGTAGGTTTGTTCTTTCTGTGTCTACCATTCATCAACAGTTTCTCATAGACACAAAAGTGTACTAACTTTGAATTTTTGATCTAAGCATATATATTAATTTCTAAGGTAGTCCCAAAGTTTGCGATCTTCATTTTCTCTCCACCCGATTAATGCATAGTAGGCAAAACTACTTGTTAAAAGTTTAACACACTCGTACCAGATACCAAACTTCACTATCTGAAACCGTACTGAAACCCTTTTCTCGGTTTTTATAATATATAGATTTGTATCTAACGGCTGAGAAGTGAGTTTTGTATATTTGTTAATTAGGTACAACATTGCGAAGAAGCTTTGGTAAGGGAGTTAAACTATTTACCCTACTACTATAAAGCACTAGGAATAGGGACAAGTGTTTCAACATAGGTCTGAAGAAGTCCACACCTATCGAGTGACAAACTAGTCTCAACAATTCTCAAACTTTTGTCGCCAAAGTTATATGCAAGCAATTTTCCTTCATTCCCAGTACTTACTATAAACAATAGCAATCCCGCATACGTTATCGCAGACACTAGCCAGCACCTACTGATTTGATGAGCAATTGAGCTTTCAACAATGCCCCGTGAGAGACTGAGGATCTTGTTCCAAGATTTGATAACACTACAGCTCTTCTCCTTTTCATGTTGGGCAGACCAAACGATGAGTTCACCACAAGACAAGTCAACCCCAACTGTACATAGACCACCGCTCAATCCCTCTACAACATCAGAAATCCTTGACCACATGTACTTGGACCTGAGCAGTAGCTGAATGTTTCTGACACCAAATCAAAGCTCAAAATCGTTTCAGTTAAGGCTACCTTATGATCATAGACCTGCCAGTATATATTTTCACCCACCAAGGTTCCAGGTGTTCTCATGTGGCACATCACAAAGTTTTCTAAACATGGGAAATCAATCAACCGACACTCACCCGACTTCAAGGATAACACTTGTGCTTTAGAGCAGGTGCCTTTCATAGTCGGAACCAACACAATCTTATAATCTTGTGTTGAGTGGTCATAACCAAAACCCATCTCAGCCCAGTTATTGAGATGCCTTGTTTGTATTCTTCTGAACTCTCTCAATGCCGGGTTCCAAACACCAAAAGTAGTATCTTCAAGATCTAAGCAAAAGAGTCCATGGCAGTGACCAATTAAACTAGAATTGAGAAGCAAGCTTTCATCTCCAATGTTCAACTTAACCTCTTCGACTATCGTCTCTAGCTTGCCAACTGCATAAGAAAAGTGGCATGGTGGAGTTTCCCAGCCACGGAACGACATGATCCTCGTTTGGGCATGAGTCATGTGCTGTCTTATAAACCTCTCGTCTTGGAACAACGACCGCCAACTTTTGCAGACACATATAAACCGTGTTAAGGACTTAACAGGAACCCTAGCGAGTATTTCCTCCAATAATTCAAACGGAAGCTCCCTCATCTTCCGACGACCATATGACATACCTTAGCAATCGAGCAAAGCTTAGCTCTCTGGTTTTTCTATTCTTTATTGGTCAATGGAAACGCTCTCTTTTTATAAGCAAAGATTCCTTCTCCTAATCTGACATCTAATATGATAATAAAGGAATAGATAGATCGTCAAAAAAAATCAAAGTCCCCAATGCTCTATAAGTTGGTTTAGAAAATATTCATTAGACTTAATCATTTTGAGTTGCTGGTTAAAACCAAACTTAAATCTGGACGGTCAGAGATGCTTGGCAGAGGAGGGTTCTCACTTCTCAGCCGTTAGATACAAATCTATATATTGTAAAATTACTTTCGAATACAATACAAGTTCACTATAATATAAATAAACATATATATATATATATATTACTATATTCTTTGTAAGAGCATGGACATTGGTGTGAGACTTATTTTGGTCTCATGGTTAAAATATGAATATTTTGATAGGAATTTTATGTAAAATGCCACTATCAAAACTCAAACTTTTAAAACTGACACTTTCAACTTTGTATTTTGTAAAATGCCATATTCGTTATTATTGTAAAATAAAAAGACAAAAATGCCCTCAAAGAGAGAAGACAAAAAATCTGACATAAATCAATTATGGACATTAATTAATAGACAAGTTTTTTTTTTGTACCGATACTGTTTGCTTTTACTATATACGTATAATGAACAACAAATTAAGAAACGAAAAATGGACATTACAGACATCAGATATAGTCCACCGAATCTAATCCATCTACGCACAAATGTGTGATCGAAAGTGTATACCTAGATGGATCATTGATGATGTCTTCCATAGATGCATCATTTGTTTTATCTTCTGCTCAATTTATTGTGGTTTCAAGAGATCTGTAGGATGGACAAGTTTGGTCTACCGATTTTGGTCCACCAGATCTTGTCCATCAGAACTGGTTATGGTATGCTGTAACTTCTTTACCTGATCTGATCCACTGAAACTGGTTTGCCGGATCTGATACTCCAGAATTGGTCCATCGAAACTAGTCTGTCATATCTCGTCTGTCATATCTGGTCTACTGAGACTGGTTATATTCCGCCGGAACTGGTCCGCCGGAACTGAAACTGGTCCGCCGGAACTGAAACTGGTTCGCCGGAACTGAAACTGGTCCGCCGGAACTGGTCCACCGGAAATGGTTCGCCGGAACTAGTCTGCCGGAATTGTAGAGAGATTTGTTTGTTGTTGAAGAAAGAAAAGATAAAAGAAGAAGAGAAAAAATGAAAGAAGAAGAGAAAGAAAGAGATGAAAAAAATGAAAGAGAAGAGAGAAAGTTTGAGTGAGGGATAAAATTGACATTTTAATGAGTTAAAGTGGGTCCTATGGCATTTATTAAAAGATTAGAATGAAAGTGGCATTTCTTCTAAGAAATGCCACTGTTCATGGCAGAGAATACAATTTTCTCTATTTTGATCATGGGACAATTCTTTATTTTTTATGTATGAGCATTGGTGTCCCATGTTTTTGGTCCCATGATTAAAATAATAATATTTTAAGTTTTTAAAAATTATTTTTTTAAAAAATAAGTTAAAACATATTAAAGATTGGATTAATATAAAACATATAACATTAACATTCAAAACGTTAAAAAGTTTCAAAGTTACAAAAAGTTGAAAATAGGAAAAAAATACAATTAAGACATTAAAAATATAAAACATAAAGCATACAAAGATTAAAGGGAAAAATGTCATTTAAATCATGAACATTCAAATTTTGGCCATTTAAATCACGAACTTTCTATGTGGCCATTCGAAACATGAGCTTTTCATGGATTTAGTTTTTAAAACATCATCTTTCGTTCAATAAGCCAAAATGAACATTATATCCAAAAATCTATTAACAAAACAGCTAACAAACATTAAACATCACTAATCCGTCTCTATTAGTAAGAGACGATGTCGTTTAAGGGTAAAAAGTGAGAAATTAGAGATTTGATATTTGGATTATGACGTTAGAATCACAATTTTGAGATATCGTTTTAACATTAAACGACGTCGTTTCTCACTAACAAATATGATTAACCATGGCTAGCTGCTTTGTTAACGGATTTCAAGATATGATGTTGATTTCAGCTTGGTAAACGAAAGATGATGTTTAAAAAAATAAGTTAACGATAAGTTCATGTTTTGAATGGCCACATAGAAAGTTTGTGATTTAAATGACCAAAATTTGAATGTTCATGATTTAAATGACATTTTTCCCAAAGATTAAACCAACATTTTATTCAATTAATAGAAATTTTAGAATTCGTAACAGAAACCAATACTAATTTTATAAACTTTTAAGGGGGAATTTCAAAAATACTCATTTTCCAATGCCATTTTTAAAAATACCCCTCTTTCTAATTTTATCAAAAATTCACTATAAAATTAGAAATTTATCAAAAACATATATGCAAGCTTATATTTATAGACACAAATTATCTTTATATGTATGTAAATTTATATATATATTTCATAAATACCGTATAAATACATTTTAAAAATCATTTAAAAACCTTATAAAACTTTGTAAACCTTTTAAAAACCTTATAAATGTCGTTTAGACCCTTTTAAAACCTTATAAATATCTGGATTTAGTCTCCCAGTAGTAATGATGATCTTGATATACCTTATCAACCGTATAAAAATTTATAATTTTTCAAAAAAATGGTATTTTTGAAAATAGATAGAAAAAGATGTATTTTTAAAAAAGATACACCAAAATGGGTATTTCTCAAAAATTTTCAACTTTTAAACAAACAATAAGGAAACAAAAGCATAATCACAGCCAACAAAACACTCAAACAGTTTCTAATACTTACCCTATAAAAGATATACCACCCTTGATGATAGAACAAAAAAAAAAAACATAACCCAATCAACATTAGCTACATGGCTGGAAGGACGAGTGGAAAAAGTCCCGTTTTAAGAAACGTTTCTTTTGATTAATCGTATTTGTGTTTTATTTTTTGAACAATTATTCGGTGGGACGATGCATAACTACGGCGTTGCACATGCTCTAAGTTGTAATAGACCACCTCCGATGGTAAGCATCTTTGAAAGATGCTAATCAATTTCTTTTTATTAAATTTTCAAAAGTGGTGTTTATGTGTTGCTTATAATCACAACTTTAGCTATGATGCTTACAATATATATATATATATATATATATATATATATATATATATATATTTATGTGTTGCTTATAATCACAACTTTAGCTATGATGCTTACAATATAAATATATATATATATATATATATATATATATTTATATATATTTATTATATTCACTACATACAATGATAAGCAACATCTTAAACATACACTAAGCACCTCTACAATGATAAGCAACATCTTAAACATACACTAATATTCTCCAGTGTCGAACATTTGTTATCTATTTTTTCCGTGAATAGATGTAAATTTAGAAGAAAAAAAAAATCCTGCCAAAAGACAAAACTAGAGTAGGTAGAACTTAGTATAAGGCTAAACCACATAATTCACATTTCAAACCAAAACTTAGGCCACGTTTTAGGTCATTTTGCCTCTTTGATTAAAAAAAAAAACATCATACACACATATGAATAATAGTGGACAAAATAAAACATCATTTTTCTTCCTTCCTAAAGTATAAATAAATAATTGTCCTCACATTTTTTTTGTCCTTACTCTTCTCTAACTTTCTTCTTTATAATAAATTAAAAAAAAACAATATTGGCACGAGATATTTGCCGTCAAAAAAAAAAATTTACGATATTTGTTTTTTCCTCATTTTTTCTCCACAGAAAATTAATTTACAAAGTAGGAAAAAAAAAAAATTTAAAAAGACAAATTGAAATCTAAAAGCCATCAACAAATCTACACGTGGGGACAATTAAGAGGAGACCTTACCGACAGTTTTAATTGGGTTCCGTCGTGTTCAACGGCTCTCGACAAAAGAAGAACCACACTGAATCTTTTTCCTACGTGGCACATATCTATTTGGTATGACGTCATCTTGCCGAAAGGACAAAACGACTCATGCTATTGCTAGTAGTAAATATTCCTTTATTCTCCTTGGACAAAACACAAAAAGACGAATTAAACCAAATTCATCACCTTAAATACGAATTAATTTTTATTATAATCTGAATAGTAGTATAATTTTTTGCAACCTATAAAAAATTAACTAAAAATTATTTAGAATAATAATATAATGATTTATTTTTATAGAATTCTATGTTTAAAAAGACAATAAATCAAAAATTTTCCATATGATTTTAATTTCAATATAATAATTTATTCAAAATGGAAATAAATTTTGGTAAAATTTAAAATCCAACATCAATCTATTTTTATTCAATTAAAGATTTTTACAAATGATCTTTGAATAATATTTAATAGAAATTTAAGATCTGATGTTATCCAAATAGGATTTCAAAATACTTAATTAAGATATAATGCTATTCAAAATTAAATAAATTTTATTCTTCTGTATATTGAGTCATTTAAAAAAACAAAATCTCATTTCGTGTAATGAGTAAATTATTATAAAAAAAAATTCAAAGAATATGAAAAGATTTTGAAGTTTAAACAAATAAATCTTTAAAAATAATATCAAAATTTAAAGTCTAAATAACTCATTATAAGTCGATTATTAAATAATAAGATCACAAAAACTAAACCAAACTGAAAATATTAAAATTCGATTATGTAAATTAAATCGACTAATACCCAAATACGACTAATACCCAAACTAGTGTACCAAACGGTATTTTCACTGTTTTATTCAATATTTAATCCATATAATATTTTTAAACAATAAAACATAGAATATACGGCTGATATTTCTTTACTTATAAAAAAGATTTTAATAACAACAATAAATAAACAAATATTTTCCTCTCTATGTGTGTCTATTTAGTTCAAGTTATTGCTTGTAACGTCAGTTTTTTTGGGGTTGAGTTTCTTCTCCCTTTCTACCTTCTCTTCTCTTCACTTTGCTCAAATGGCCGGCCTCAGATGGAGAGAGTGGTGGAACACGATGGCCTTCCCGACCCGCCGAGTCTGGAATCGCTTCACCGTCCGCGTCGGCTTCCGACACAGTGGTAAGCTCTCCGATCATAGCTAAAACGTTTTCTCTGTTTCATCGCTTTTGAAGGAAAAAAAATTGAAAAAAAAAAAAACAAAAATAAGCTTTCAGTTTCTTTGATAGTTAGTTTGGATTCTATCAATTTCTTTTGGTGATTCTTGAATCTTGATCAAATCAAGAAACTGTCGGTGGAAACTTTTTTTAGGTATAGGAAAACAAAATTTTGTGTTTTATAAAAAGACTCTTGACCTATCAATAATTCAATATTGTTTAAGGTCTTCTAGGTTATTTGTTTTATGGCTTGGGGAGAAATCTTTACTAAGGCGGATTTTCGATAGATAAAACTCGAATAAATCGGTTGTTAAATCTTGTTTTTTTTCTTCTTAAAACTAAATGATGATCTTGTGTGCTTGTAGGACTTTTAAGGTTACAAAATGACGTGAGTTCTTGTGAGTACGAAGACATACACATAATGTGGAATCTGTTACACAAGAACGAAGATCTTAATCGCGGTGTACAGAGCCAACCACAACAACAGAGGAAGAAACCTTGTTGGAGTCTTCTTGGTTCATATCTTTGCCAAAGATTCTGATCAGTTTTACTATATACATATATATGTATAACCCAAAAGATGTTCCAAAACCATCTTTGTATCTGAGAGAGCCTTCAGGGGTCCCTTGCAAGTGTGGTGAGGTTCACTAAGTTTTAATAAATTTCTGAGGTTGCAGAGTTCTTAGCTGTTATATATATATATTCCATGGCATGCCTCTATGTGTACTTATGAATACTATCATCACATGAGTGTTGTATATATAAAAATGCAAAAATGTTTCACTTAGTTTGATACAACTTTGTTCATATATTATGGTTTCTCTGTTTTTGCCCATTTACATTAGAAAAACAAAACAACTTTAAGCCTATCTTGAAAGTTGAATCCACTTTGCTCATGGCTCAAATGGCTTACTACTTTACTAGCATTTCCAAGTGTTATATATATTGCAAAAACAAGTGTTTCACTCTATAGTTTTTTTAGTTTCACTACTTGTTATAATTCATCTAAATATATAATTCTTGGATATTAATGAAAAATATTTCGAGAAATTTTTATTTTCCTCGACGATTCAATGAAAACTAAGAAAAAGGCTTAATATCACAAACCGAAAAAAGCGAAAAAATACTTACATTATATGTTTTAGAATAAAAGATTAATTTTTGTAACTTTGAATTACTCCGAAATATGTAGATAAACTACAAAATATATATCTTAAAACTCTCAAAGTTACATACATATGTACAAATGGATTTTCTAATTGAAGAAACCACTTTCTTGAGAATCAAATGATAAATTCAATTAGTTATAAAATCAAATGCTTTATGAAGGAAAAAGAATAATCGAAATCAACCAATGAATTATAGACTTCCAATTTAGTGGTCATTATTAAAATAAAATAGATCTCAACCAATGAATCCATGGAGAAAGATGAAATGTCAGAGTCAATTGGTTAGATACTGATGTCCAAACAAGTGTGTGTGTTTTGTTGTATACTTTTGTATATGTGAATGTGTCGGCTACTTCTGTGCTTATTTAAAGGCCGGTCTTCAAAAAAGAGTAATCAACAAGTTTTGTGTGATGATGTGATTGTTTTTTTTCTCTTTTTTGGTTGGGACATTTCACCTAACGACTCTTTGGTTTTATTAAATGTTATGTAACTCTTTGCCTTTTTCTTTTCTTTTTTTCCTAATAGCAAACTTACATACTGATATTCTTTTCGTGGGAATCTTTTTTTTTAATCTATTTTTACTTGTCTTAATCTTGTTTTTGGGTGTGTGATTGGTGAAATAAGAGAAAACTAATTTTTATTTTTACCAATCACAAAATTGTTATTCAAAAACTTTATTAAAATTTTACTTTCTATTTTTTTTTATAGCTTTTATGTACCGCTCTTTTTTACAGTTTTACATTATTTTGTAAAAACTTACCGTCACAGCTTACAAATTGTTTGTACAACTTTGACTACGTTATCAATCGGACCCAAAGTTTCTTAATTTCTTGGTCTAAGAGCCAATATATTTGTAACTCCACTGCATATCTCTAACATATAGAATCTGAATGGTAACTGTGTTTTTCACCACAATGCGGGTCAAATAGTAGCGAAAATACATAGATATATATTTATCTGTAGATATTTTGACACTGTTACGGTGCGGTTTTGTAGCACGGTATCGTTCCCATTCGGAGCCATAGCAATGATATATTTCAGAATTTGGTGATTGTTAATTACATCCAAATATATAATTAATTATATATGGAGGAAGAACGATGAACCAAACTGGTTGAGTCAACTTGAGTGTAACCAAATTAATATACTAGCCACTGTGATGAGTGTAACCAAACCCGTCGCAAGACAGGATGCAAGACATACATAATGTTGTATTAGGATTTTTTGGTCGGATAATTAGGAAAAGTGTAAGAACTAGAAGAAGGAGAGGGAGAGCAACAATTTTTTTTTTTTTGAAATGTATCCATAAGAAAAATTATTTGATTTGATATCTTCATCCAACTTTGGTGATGGTTGATGACGGTAGAGCAATTTCATGTTCGAAGGTTCAAATCGCAATAGAAAAGATGTTTATGGCAACGTAGGATATTTGATATTTTGATTTCCATTGTTTGAATACATCATTAATTGTATATTCAAATTAGTATTTTAAATGATATGTGAAAGTTCACGAGCATTATATTATTCAATTATAAAACAAGTAATGCGAAGCTCGAGAATCAAACAATATGTGAGACTCAAACCCGAAGGTCCTTACACAAACATTGTGTGCTAAGAACCCTAACCAAAATCACTTAACACAAAAATATTCAAATTAAAACAACAGTATTCACAACTTAAACCTCATATCGGCATGGCAGCACTTGCCCCACCTCTCTCAATAGAAGAGTATACTTGTGGCGTCTGTACAATATGAGTCATCGATTTCACCTCTATCAACTGCACTCCTATCTGTGGCGTATGTGCACTGTAATCTCCCTACTACAAATAAGACCAAAATGAACTTAAATCTGAATTCTAAAACATATCCGGTGTAAGGATAAAATATTTTAAAAGCTGTCTCTTTAGTGTGAGAATTTAGAGGAAACATAATAACATGTATGTTGTCGGAGACTTCGCGCAAGAAACAAAATTAGTAGTTCAAAATGGTAGCTACGGTATAAGTAACTAATGATGTTTCAACACCTTTCGATCGTAAAAGAAAAGCTTATTATGGTTTTATGTTTATAGTATCTCTTTTTCAACTTATTTTATACCAATAAAATGTAAAATGGTCTTCTATTTATAGTATTTCAACTTATTTGATATTTACTAAAAATTTTCGTAGACAATCGTACACTCAGTTTGCTCAATAAAATTCTAACATTGGTAATTTTTTTAATATAGTGATTTCTTAAAATTTAATAAATTTTATTCATCCAAATTATAAATTAGACCAAAATGAACTAAAATCTGAATTCTAAAACATCTTCGGTGTGAGGATAAACCACTTAAAAAGGAGTTTCATTCATTGTGAAATAGTAACCATCTTTGGGAATCCTACTGCTCCTCATCATTTTGGGGATCCTCATCATTCTACCGCTACGCCTCATTCTACTGATCCGCATCATTTAACGGTTTAACATCATTTTACGGCTCCACATCATCCACATCATTTTGGTGCTCCTGATCATTTTGCTTCTCTTAATCATTTAGATATGTTTTCCTCGTCATCAAGCGGTAACCATCTTTCTCAAAGTATTGAATTTTTAAAATAAATTCTCAAACTAACCAATTATTTTTTATTTCAGAAGAAGATGAGGAAAGTGATGATGATCAATATGATGGTCGTACACATAGTATACCATGTAAAAAAAGGTCATTATACATGTCCTAAGTGCAACTGCGTATTTGATACTTCTCAAAAATTTGCTGCACATATGTTATTTCACTACAAGAGTGAGACAAGCAAAGAAAAAGATCAAAGACTTCGCGCAATAGACAAGAAAAAATATCGTAAATTCATGGCGAGTGTTAGAAGGACAAATTAGTAGATGGAATTGGTAGCTATGGAATAAGTAACTATTGATGTTTCAACACCTTTCGACCGTAAAAGAAAAGCTTATTATGGTTTTATGTTCTTAGTATCTCTTTTTCAACTTATTTTATTCCAAAAATGCAAATTTGTCATCTATTTATAGTACTTCAACTTATTTGATATTACTAAAACTTTCCGTAGACAATCGTACTTTCAGTTTGCTCTATAAAATTCTTACATAGGTCATTTTTTTAATAAGTTGTTTCTTAAAATTTAATAAATGTTATTCAACCAAACTACAAATAAGACCAAAATGAACTAAAATCTGGATTCTAAAACATCTCCGGCGTGAGTATAAAATACTTAAAAAGGAGCTTTCTTCGTTGTGAAAATTCAATGAAACAAAATACCATGCATGTTGTTGCGTGGATATACAAATTTAAATAATTATAATTACTAATTTCGAGTTATTATATATAATTTAAATATAGACTAATTTTCAGTATAAAAAATTACATTTTTGTTGATATATTATATAAATATTCACTATCGTTCTATAAATAATAAATATAATTTAAATTATTTTTATAAAGGTATATGTCATCTTTTCGCTTTATAATTTGTAAGAATTAAAAAATTCTTTCTATTATATATTTATGGTGGAACATGAATGTTTTTTTTGTAAACTATCAAATCTTTCATATCATTTGAAATAAACTTAGAAATGCTAAAAAAAAACATGTGTCAAAGAACTAACAAGATTAAAATGAAAGTATTCAACATTGAAAATGAAACTTTTAAAATTTTATGGTAAAATGCAACTTATTAAATTTTTGGAAAGAATGTAAAATTCAAACAATAATATCAAAAAATAACTATTTAGTCAAGAAAAGTAAATTACATCCCCAAATAAGTTATTCATTGTCATAGCCGGTCATAAATAACGTGCCAAATTTGAAATTAACTAAATAAAAATATATTGACTTTGAATTAATTAAATTTAATTTGTTACCTTTTTTATTACTTCAACTAATATAAAAAGAGGTTCAGCCAAATGGTATAATAAACACTCAAAGATTTAACATGTCTTCCAATCCAAATATGTTCAACATTGATGGTGATCACTTCATTAACCATGGTGAATTGTTTCCTCTTCAAATGAATCAAAACTCAAGAATGTTTCGATCAATGTTCACAACAGATGATCACATGAACTATGAAAATTTCTTTGCTTCTACTCCATATTTTTCATCGTATCAAAATTCACAAATCTCATCATCTTCTTTTCCATTTAGCATTGGTTCTGTTTCTCGTGCCAGATATTTTCCTAACAATATATTTGACAGTGTTCAGCATGAAATCGATCGTGTCAATCGTGCCATGGATGCTAACCCCAATACTACCCCAATACTTGGATTCCTGTACTTCTTCCTCCGAATTTTCTTGGTAATCAACATATAGTTTTGAATCCGCCACCTATTAGTCTCGTTTATCCGGACCAAGATCCTGCTGCTCCTCGTCAATTTTCTGCTCATTATTCTGTTGCTCCTCGTCATACTGGTCCTCCTCAATATTCTGCTGCTCCACATTATTATGCATCCCTTGATCATCCTGTTGTCCCTCAACATTTTGCTATTCCACCTCATTTAACTTCTCCGCATCATTTTGCTACCCCGCGTCATTCTATTGCTCCAAATAATTCTGCTACTCCTCATCTTTTTGTTTCTCCTCATCATATTGCTGCTCCACATCGTTCTAATATGTTTTCCTTCTCAGCAAATGATAATCATATTTTGAATCCATCACCTATTAGAGTCGTTTATCCGGACCAAGATCCTACTGCTCCTCATCATTTTAGGGATCCTCATTATTCTACCGCTACGCCTCATTCTGCTGATCCGCATCATTTTACGACTCCGCATCAGTTTACGGCTCCACATCATTTTGGTGCTCCTGATCATTTTGCTGCTCTTGATCATTTGGATATATTTTCCTCGTCATCAAGCGGTAACCATCTTTCTCAAGGTATTGAATTTTTGAAATAAATTCTCAAACTAACCAATTATTTCTTATTTCAGAAGAAGATGAGGAAAGTGACGATGATGAATATGATGGTCGTACACATAGTATACCATGTAAAAAAAAAGGTCCTTATACATGTCCTAAGTGCAATTGCGTGTTTGATACTTCTCAAAAATTTTCTGCACATATGTTATTTCACTACAAGAGTGAGACGAGCAAAGAAAAAGATCGGAGACTTCGCGCAAGAAACAAGAAAAAATATCGTAAATTCATGGCGAGTCTTAGAAGGACAAATTAGTAGATGGAATTGGTAGCTATGGAATAAGTAACTATTGATGTTTAAACATCTTTCGACCGTAAAAGAAAAGCTTATTATTGTTTTATGTTCTTAGTATCCCTTTTTCAACTTATTTTATTCCAATAAAATAAAATGCAAATTTGTCTTCTATTTATAGTACTTCAACTTATTTGATATTACTAAAACTTTCCGTAGACAATCGTACTTTCGGTTTGCTCTATAAAATTCTTGCATAGGTAATTTTTTTTAATAAAGAGGTTTCTTAAAATTTAATAAATGTTATTCATCCAAACTACAAATAAGACCAAAATGAACTAAAATCTGGATTCTAAAACATCACCGGCGTGAGGATAAAATACTTAAAGGAGCTTTCTTCAATATGAAAATTCAAAGAATCAAAATAACATGTAGACAATCGTACTTTCAGTTTGCTCTATAAAATTCTTACATAGGTAATTTTTTTTAATAAAGTGGTTTCTTAAAATTTAATAAATGTTATTCATCCAAATTACAAATAAGACCAAAATAAACTAAAATCAGGATATTAGAACATCTCTGGTGTGAGGATAAAATACTTAAAAAGAAGTTTTCTTCATTGTGAAAATTCAAAGGTAACAAAATAACATGCATGTTTTCTCGTGGATATACAAATTTAAATAGTTATAATTACTAATTTGAAATATTATACATAATTTAAATATAGACCAATTTTCAGTATAAAAAGCTACATTTTTGTTGATCTATTATATAAATATTCACTATCGTTCTTTAAATAATGGCGCAATGACCTTTTCTAATGCGATTATGTAAAACATATACTTCATCCGTTTCATTTTAAGTGTTGTTTTAGTCTTAAAAAGTTGTTCTATGTAAGTGATGTTTTCAACTTTCTATGTAAATACTTAATATATTTGAAAAAATTTTGACCAATCATATTATAAATTTTATTTTCGCATTGGTGAAATTTATTGTATTTAATAGAATTTTTATGGAAAAAATAAAAATAAAATGTTTTCTTATTCTGTTTATAAGAACTTTAATCATTACGTAAAATGAAAATGAAATAAAGAGAGTATCAATCAACAAAACATGCCTATTTACATTTAAAAACGTAGAAACAAAAAAATTATCGTTGAACCTAAAGAAATACCAGTTAAAATATTACACGTAAAAGACTCTTTATTTATAGCCAAACAAAACATATGCAACTTCAATTTCCTTCCGATGTGGGATACCAAATGCAACAACACATACATCATCAGTCACTCATCACAAACTTGACATTGCAACTTCCTTCCGAACAATGCAACAAACACATACTTCCTCAATTGATTTTTAAAAATATACAAATTTAAACTAATAGAAATGGTAGGGGCTGCGCGAACGCAAACCCCCTCTGCCACAAATAATGACGCAGGCTCTTCCTCATGGGAAGACCTTAAGCTAAGCACCCCTCCGTTATGTGCAATGGAGGTCACTAGCTTAGGCCACTCGTCTTCTTGATCACAAGTTGACCCCGTCCAGGTAAGTGATTTGATCTTACCCACCACTACTCTATTTATACCCACGCTTCCTCAGTCATTACTTCGGGTCTATCCGATGTGGGACTTTTTATAGTTTTACGAGTTTTGCTTATTTTTAATTGAAGTAAGTATTAAAATGAGTCACGAAGACAGTTATGCTCTCTCACCAACACTTCACGTAATTAACTCCAATCTCTCTCCCACCTTCACCATCACCACAACACTATTCTCTCGCCGGAGATTTATACTATACAGTGCATAAACTCACCCTAGTTTCGCCGGAGATCTCTCAAACCCGTTGGAGAAATCGATATTTCATTACTATACAAATCACATTCATAACTGAGGCGATGTTGATTTCTCAATGTCGGAGATGACTGCTGCGATTTCGCCGTCTAGTTTCAATGCTAATGGTAAACAGAACAAACCGCCGTTGTTTTCATCGGAATCGCCACATCGCCGACCGAAATCACGAGATGTGCCGTCGCGGTACCTTGGTGGTGCTTCCTCTTTTTCGTCGTCGTCGGTGTTTAACCAATCGTCACCGTCCTCGGTTAAGAGATGTCAATCGCCGGTTGTTACTCGACCGGTGAATCCGTCGGTTGCTTTAAATCGGTCGAAATCAACACCGCGTCGTGAGCCATTAGATCGACGAGGTAGTGGTGGTAGTGGTGGAGAGGTTTCTTCAGCGCAGAGAATGTTGTTGACTTCTGGGAGAAGCTTGTTTGCTTCGTTTCAGGCGGATTCGTTTACAGGGAATTCATCGCCGATTACTCCAGTAGAGAAGAAGAAGAAGAAGAAGACGATTTCGACGGCAACAGCATCTAGGAGTGGTGGTGGATCGAAGTTGAAGGTATCTGAGCAATGGCCTAGGTCTTTACAACCTAGTTGTTTGAGTAGAAGTTTGGACTTTACAGATACTAGGAAGAAACTGAACGGATCTGGTAATGGTGTAGCTAGAGCTCTGCAGAACTCCATGGTGAATAATAGACCAATGACGAGAGATTCATTGAGTGTTGATTTAGAGACTGAGAGTGTTTCTTCTGGAAGCTCTAATGGAAGAGTGAAAATGTTACCAGCTCGTGGCAGTAGAGTTTCGCAATTGACTAGTAATCGGTTGCAGCAGCCACGGTTAGAGCCTGGCTTACTGGTTGCGAAATCTAATGGAGTGAGGAAGATATCTGTGGATAGTCATGTATTGTCCCCAAAAGGAAGCCAATTGTTTCCAAAAAGTGAGCAGATTCGACCTGCTTCACCTGGAAAATTTGGTATGACTGCAGCTTTGTCGAGTCCGAGAGGAACCAGCATTGCTAGAGGAATAAGCCCTTCGAGAGGCGTTGTTCCTACAAGAGGGATGAGTCCTTCAGGCAGGATGAGCCCACTAAGAGTGAGAAGCTCGCTGAGTAAAAACATGCCTTTGGGTCTGAATTTTGCTGTGGATGTTAAAGAAAAGATCAGAGATAATGGGGCTATTGATGCTCACTTGTTGAAGGTATTACACAATAGGGTGCTGCAATGGCGATTTTCGAATGCACGAGCAAATGATGTTATCTCTGCACAAAAGATTAAAGCGGAGGTTAGCGATCCTTTTCTTCCTGAATGCGTTAGAATCTTGATTATAGAATATAGATTAGCACAATTAAGTGTTTTCAATTGACTTTGCACATTTTAGCATATGGTCACTATTAGTGAGAATGGTTTTTGAGAATCATTTAGATTTTAACAAACTCAGTACCTCTGTCTTGTCTCCAAGATACAAATTTATTTAAGTTAGTTCAGGCTTGTCTATTGTCCAAGTGATTATAACTGAAGTTGTTAGTTTTCTATTGGTTGTCAATGAGAGGCTACAAACTCTGAGACCCCTGTTTCCATTGCAGAGAAGACTGTACAATGCATGGATAAGTATCTCTAAGATGTATGATTCTGTTAGAGCAAAAAGAATTGCATTGCAGAACCTGAAGCAGAATTTGAAACTTATATCTATCCTCAATAGGCAGGTAAGTTAATCTGCTTCTTAGCCTTTTAGGTTCCTCTATATGTTCTGCTTCTTACAGCTTTAGTTACATAGCAAGAAAGTAAAATATTTTTCATGCGTATGTATAGATGGGATATCTAGAAGAGTGGTTGGTTATGGACCGGGATCATATGGGTTCCTTAGTAGGAGCTGTTGAAGCGTTGAAAGGCAGCACACTTTGTCTACCTGTTGACTGCGGCGCCATGGTTTGGTTTCTCTACTCAAAACATATTTTCCTTACTACTGTATTTGGAAAACATAAGTGATGTTTGCTGATGATGATACCATATGCAGGTAAACGTACAAAGTGTTAAGGATGCCATTTGCTCAGCAGTTGATGTTATGCAGGCAATGGCATCTTCCATATGCTTGTTGCTGCCAAAGGTGACCCAATCTTTTCCCTCCTCGTGTTTAGTTTTTTTCCTGCCATACTCAATAGTTCGTATCTGCAACCTTTAACACCTAAACCGGATAGACAGTAAGCAATGTACTGCATCCTATCTTGCTAACTGCGCTTATCTTCTGTTAATTGTAGTCTAAGTGAATAGTTCACTATATCGGCTAACACATTATCACCTGATTATGATTAGTGTCTTCGTATCTGGTCTAAGAATACTTTGTACCATAATTTTGTCAACTCTAAGTGATTGTGAGAAGAGGAATTGCGTCAATAGTTATTCATATTTGTATATGAAAAACTGAATCTCATTTTCTCAGGTTGGAAAAATAAGCATCTTGGCAGCAGAACTTGGCAGTGTAAATGTCAAGGAGGAAGGGATGCTCGACGCGTGTCGAGACCTTCTAAACACAATCTCAGCTCTGCAGGTACAATATCTCAATTCTCAATACGCTCTATGAGTAAGAGAGATTTGGTGATTTATCTATGTTACAATACGCAGGTTACAGAATGCAGTTTGAGGACACAGATTACACAGCTACGATAGTAAAGTGCCCAAGTTAACAAAACGAGTAAAGTAAGTAAGAAAGCTACTCATAATGGTCAATTTTTGAGTTATGAGAATGTAAGAAGATCATCTAATTTTATATAGAGAGGCCAATTCAATTTATAGTTTAACAACAACAACAAGTCAGATTGTAAATATTCAAGTCGTGTTTTAATCAAATTTAATTTGGTTAATTTGATTGTAGAAAAATTAAAATTAATGGGATTTTCTCTGAATTTGTAGATAATATTTTATCATATCAAAAACATATAAAAAAATTTCAATCAAAATTCATAGGGTTATAAAAAGGTACAAGCTAAAAAAAAATGTTTTGCAAAATTGAATCTTTTGAAATTTACAGTTTATAGTAAACTTCACTTAAGACGAGGCTTCTTCGTCGCCATCGGACTCATCACTTCATCGTCCGGCGAAAATTCCCTTACCGGCGTAATATTAAGATCAAATCCACGGTGGCTATTACTACTAACATGGCTAGTAGATCCAACACCTTCAGAATTTGAAACGCCGCCGTTTCCATTCCCTTCGTAATGGCACCGCTTATGTCCACCAAGAGCTTGACCAGTAGCAAAAGATTTCAAACAGATAGAACAAACGTGAGATTTCACGGCGGGGGAAACCGCAACCGCCTTTTCATTATCTCCACCGCCGTTTAAATTCCGGTGACTCGCCTTATGACCACCAAGAGCTTGGTAAGAAGAAAACTTCTTGTCACACACGCCACACTTATAATAACCCTGTTTCTTGGCAGCCGTCACAGAATCAAGATCGCCGCGGTCTCGAGCAAGAAGCATGAGACAGAAAGCTAGATACTCTTCTTCAGTGAGACCATGGTCTTGAAGATGATGACCAGATCTTGAAAAACGTTTGGATCGTTTCTTGCCTTTGGTCGTCCATTGCTCAACGCCATGGAATATTCTTGATGTATCTTCGACAATTCTTGGTGAGTTCAGAGCTTCAAGGGCCATTGTTTTACAAGTAAAGAGAGCAAAGAGATTGAGAGAGAGAGAGATATATAGAATAAAGATGAAGTGTGAAGAAGAAAGAATCTTGAGAAGTTGCGTGAGAAGAAGAGTGAGAGTGGGTGGCCAAATTGGTCCATTAAATTAAAAATTTTAGTTGAAACGAGATATGTGCGGAGCAAGTTGTTGTTGTTGTATGTATCGTAAAGTTGTAAACCAAAGTTGTATGTGAATGCAAACAAATATTTTAAATTTTTGTAAATTTTGGTGAGAGTGGAATAGGCACGTTTGTGTGTTGGGTTGAGATAGAGAGGTAGACAAAGTCTTGGCTATGTATACTTCTTCTGATTAGTTGAGAGTTGACATTTTGAATCCCAACTACACATATAAATGATTGTTTTTTAAAAACTTATAAAGACTTTGTCGATTAAAAAAAAAAAAAAAAAAAAACTTATAAAAACCTTGTCTCTAAAATCTAAACATAAACTGTATTATAATTATAGGTTTACAAAATAAAAAAAAAACTGTATTATAATTATAAAGATTCTTAGAGCAACTCCACTGGTCGATTTTTAAAGGTTGTTTAAGTTAAAAATGGGCCAGATATAAATGTTAAAAGAAGAAAAGGGGCCCAGGAAGAGAGGAAACGATGCTTTTTCAGGCGACGGAAGCAACCCGGAAGCAACGCAACGTGGCACCTATTAATTGGTTCAAGCTGAAAATAGGAAAAAAAAACAAAATAAATTTTCTCTCCATTTTTCACTTTTTCCTCTCACTTCTCTCTCTTTCCCGACTTTCTGAAAAAAATATCTCCTCTCACTTTTCTCTCCATTTTTCATTCTGAAAATATAAAAGAGAAAAAATATGTTTTTTTATTTCAAATGTAATATATGTAATTTTAATTTTTCCAATTTAGTATCATATGTTTCCAATTATGAATTATGTAAAAAATAAATTCAAATGTAATAAATATAATTTATATTTTTCAATTTTGTATAATATGTTTCTAATTTCCGGATTTTGTAAAATATTTATTTTTCTTTTTAATGTAATCTATGTAAATTTAATTTTTAATTGTTAATTTGCATTATTTATTAATTTATTTAAATTTGAAAAATATATTATAATAATGCTTAAGTACCCATGAGTTGGATCATGAGTGGAAAGCTTTTTTCTTTACCATTGCTAATTGATTTTTTTATTTAGTTTTATTAAAGTTTAATTAAGCAATTAATGTTAAGCATCCATGAGTTGGATCATGAGTGGAGTTGCTCTTACGAAACTATCATTTTCAAGGATAAATTTTACTAATTTTATTGATTTGTCATTTTTAATACTTAAAAATGTCTATAATTTATATTTTGTTTTGTAGAAATACATACTATATAATAAATACTACATCCTAAGAACAAATAGAATCGGCTAAATCCAAATACTAGATGAAACTGTATTCATCGACTTGTGTTATGATATGGAACAAGAGTTTTAGTGTTTTGGTTTTATTTTGGTGTGATGGTTTTCTTTTAAAGTATGGGCTTTGAGAGTTTTATATTTAACATTAGGATCATCGGGTGTTTCTTTTTATGTCTAAGTTAGAATCTAAGTTGTACAACTTTTTTGGCCATGAATGTTTCTAAGATTTTTGGTGATTTTTGGATTATGGTTTTTAATTTTTGGATTATAGATTTTGGTTTATGATTTACAGATTTTGTAATTAAAAAAAAAATTAGAAAAATGTCAATTCACGTTTAAAAAAAATAAAAACCACAAAATGTGGTTTTTGGATTTTTAGAAGTAATTAGCAAAATTTTATAAAATCTGGATTTCCTAATTTGCAGGAAATCTATATTTTTAAGAATTAGGAATGGCTAATATAATGGATTTTGCAGAATCAAAAGCCAAACACTGATTTATGTTTTATGTTAGAATCTAATTGTACCATGATCTCTATAAATCGTTTTATGCTAATGAAAAAAAATATCCAACAATCAACATAATTATTTAAGAAAGAGACTTGGTTAAGAGGAAGCTTTGCTAAAAAAAAAAATTTCACGTTCGGAGATGTAAAACGAAAAATCAGTTGCACGTACATCATGATAAATTCCCTTAAATGTGAATAACCCATAACATATTGGAATTTTACAAATTTTCGAGTCAAGATTAATGAATACATACACTTTGCAATGATATGAAGCTAGGGTTAAGAACATAAAAAAGAGTTTAACAGGCGAGAGCTAAATTACCACAACTAAGATGGTCTCAAAATAAACAAGAAAGCCAAAAGAATCATCATACCTTCTTAAACAAATTCTAACGGGACATACTGATCTTGGTGATCAACTATAATTCGATGATGTCACATCACTTCGTCTTATTAATATTGTTTGAATGATTATGATGACTATGCATGGAACATTTTGGTAAGCATGGTAAAAATGCTATTTGTTTTATTGAATTATACATAAGATCATCCTTGAAAATTGTTGTTGTTACTCTCGTCACCAAAGAAACACAATATTACATACTTTGATTTACACATCATGTGCACATCATGCACACATTTGTGTTATAGAGATCGTTCATAATCCTATATATTTTCTTTGAGATCTAATATATAATGTTATTTTATTATTTGGTTTTCCTCTTTTTTTATTCGTATTTAGAGAAAGCTACAATTTGTTTTGGATAAAAGTATTTCAGGTGGCAAAAAAAAAGTTAGACGAAAGCTTTTCCAGTATTCTTGTCTAGTATTTCCTTTAATTTTATTCTCTAAAGGGTTTTATGATACTAAAAGTGTGGATTATAAGATAATTTGTTGGCAATTCCTTTTTGGTTTTTACTAAATAAAGTTGAGTTTGGTTTATAGGTTAAAAGGGTTGTTGTCTATGATTAGCTATTTGCAAAAGCAACATTAGAAGAGTATAATATCTATAAGAAATAACAAACTTAAAAATTTCTGTATCTATATCTATAATATATATGTATACAAACTCAAAACACACTCAAATCAAGAACAAATATTTTATATATTATGATGGTAAAATTAATTGTAATTGGACATTCGACTCTTTTTATTTGCTTTTAGACCTTCTTCTCTTTTAGGCTTTTGCACTCAAACAGTGTTCCAAAGTACATTTATTAATTCCTATTTCCATATATCCACAATTTTCAAAAAATTAACCTGGAAATGAGATTCATGAAATTAATTTTAAAAAATAAGTTATTGAATCTCCCCTTACCTTAAAACACACAAAATAAAAATGTTGAAATCTCCCTTTACTCGAAAGTTGATGAATTCATACCTATTTAATTCATGAATTACCAAGATGGACATATTTCCTCACGGTTTCACTAATCATATCTAGATTTAATTTTAGTTTTCAAACCCAAATAAAAATTAGACCTTGTACTTAAAGTAAGTCATGTACATATACTTAAATGTTCGAAGTGTGTACATACATTTTATTCTGACTCAAAATGATATACTATAACCGATGTTCCTTTCTTCTTAAAAGAATTTGACACAACAAAAACCGTATGGTCAATAAAATTTTAAGATAAAGAAAAAAGACCTTAATTATCAGAGATATACCTCCAAAGTTTGTAAATCTTTGAAATGCCTAAATTCCATCTGTTAATTGTAAAATCTAGAAAATTACAAAATAGGATAGATTAATCGATTACATTTTGTAACAAAACAAGCTATTTAGTTAGCTGCTACTTTGATAATTCTATTATGGACTGTAATATCCTCATTTTTGAATCTTTGAGTGATAGATTAACATGATCCACAAGTACAAATATTCTATAATTAATTAACATCAAAGTCTCTAGCGAGTTTACAAAATGCTATCGAAACCGGAATGTTGGCAAAGTTTGGGGGATTGAACAACGAGACTTATAACTAAAAATCTTGGAAAACATATGATTCATACATGTCCTTTAACACAGAATGTGTCCATGTATCTCTTAACTAACTTTTGGTTTTTCCTTTCACAAGCCGAAGGGGCACTTTTTAGGTGATGTTGCAATGGGAAAACTGTCGGAAAGAGATATTACGAATGGTTATTTTTGCCGACATGTTGTGGAACTGAATCATCAATAGCTTAACAACAACTAGTATATCTTTTTTTTTTGTAATGTTTATAACGAAAATAACTTTATAATTTAGTAACCGAAGTTTATACAATATAAGTCTAATTAACAACCAATGAACAGCTAATCCGTAAGATTTAATGCATTGTACCTTGACTCGAAACTTATAGACACAAGAATACATTCCCTCTTTGTTTTTATAATGGAAACTGACTTTTTGTCATATTAAATTTATCATTTGTTTGTGTATGCAATGGTGATCTTCTTTAAGACAAGCAAACGAGTGTTAATCTCATCTTGTCGGAATCTCAAATTATTCCGTGCCGTCCTTTGGTCTTTTAGTACTATCCCTTTGTTTATCATCTTTTAACAATATTGTAGGAATTTGAATCATGCTTACAAAAAGACAACATTAGCATATAATAAAACCACTAAAACTTGTTCTAGTCACGAGTACTAACTTAGTTGTTTAAACTAAAAAACAACTAGCTCAAAACGTGCCTAAGATCATCCATGTACCTAAGATCACTCCGAACCCCAACGTACCTAAGATCATCCATGTTTTGCGGACACAATAAATTACATTTTGATTCATTCTCCCAAAAGTTAGAAAACTAACAAAACAAGTTCATTGTCACAAGACGTTTTTTTGTATATATCGTGGGGTGTCCCATATATTTTTCTTTATTCTCTTTGTGATTTTTGTATATAAAAAAAAATGTTTTAAAATTCATTGAGAAACATGTATCTTTCTATTATATAATATAGAATGTACTCTCGTCATGCAATGGAGTGGCATTCTTCATTGACTCTGTCTAAACTTGGCTTTTATTGACCCTACAAGTTGACTAATCGTATTTTGATTTATATAGGTTATGAACATTAAGGCTTGTTCAAGATACAATGACTAAGATTTTATAATCAACTATCAATTAGTTATTCACTACAAGAAAACATGCCAATTTCCGACGACGATATTGGTCGGAAATGGCATATTCCGACAAATTTCTGACAAAATTAAATTTGTCGATATTCTTTGGTCGAAAACTAATATTCGTCGGAAATTATGGACGAAAAAATTTCGTTAAAAATTTGTCGGAAAAATTTGTCAGAATTTTGTATGAAAATTTCCTACAAATTTCCGACGAAAGTTCTTAGTGGTCGGAAATACGTTGGAAATTTCTGACAAATTTCCAATCATTTTTATAAACAAATTAAATTATTTTTTAAAATATTTCCACCCAATAATATTATATATCTTGTAAAAAGTTGTCCTCTTAAAGCCTCTGATATGAGCTGGTATGTTGCTATATATAAATGTATAGACGCACGCCTAAGAAAAGAAAAGATAGAAACTAACTAAGCATTACAAAGAAAAAAAGAAGAAGAAGAGAGCATTACTATGGAGAATGAAGCTTTTGTGGTTGATGGTGAATTAGAGTCTCTTTTGGGGATATTCAACTTTGAACAATGTTCGTCCAACGAATCAATCTTTTACAATGCTCCTCATAGTGAGACTGATGCTTACTCTTCTGATGATTTCTTCCCATTTGGTACAATTCTACAAAGGAACTATCCGGCCGTTCTTGACGGTTCCAATTTCCAAACAAACCTCTATGTCGACTCAAGACAAGTAAGTTCAAGTCAAAATGTTAATCTTTTCGATGTTCTTTTATATCAAATGCTAATTGTTGACACAAAACAGGAGCTTATGAAACCAAGGAAGAAGCAAAAGTTAAGCTCGGAAAGCATTTTGGTTGTCACCGAGCCTAAGAGTACTTCGAGAGATGGTCAGACCCTAAGTAGCTATAATTGTTCAGATGATGAGAAAGCTTTAGGTTTAGTGGCGTATACATCAAGAAACCTTAAAGGCAAAGCAAAATCCAAGAAAGGGATAGCTTCGGATCCTCAGAGCCTATACGCTCGGGTAATTCAAGAAACTAAACAAATCTTTTCATTGCTTACTTGAGTTGTATAAGGTTTTGTGCACATATTAGTGATGATGTATGTTTCAGAAACGAAGAGAAAGGATAAACGATAGGCTAAAGACATTACAGAGCCTAGTTCCTAATGGGACAAAGGTTGATATAAGCACAATGCTTGAAGACGCCGTCCATTACGTGAAGTTCCTACAGCTGCAGATCAAGGTAACTAACTACCTTTGTCTTGTTTGAGTCTTGGTCGTTTCTTGTAGTGCAAGAAACCATGTAAAACTTTTTCCTAAACTCTGTTTATAACATGTATGTCTCCTAAGTCCTAACCAAACAGTTTTGTTTCTTGCCTTTTTTGGAATGTAGCTATTGAGTTCTGATGATCTATGGATGTATGCACCTCTTGCTCACAATGGCTTGAATATGGGACTACACCACAATCTTTTGTCTCGGCTTATGTAAGACAATGTCATTGTAATGAGTATATAACTTAGCTTACTTGGTGTGTTTATTTTGCTCTATGTTCATGATTATGGTTATTTTGGTTCGAGTTTTTCAATTTTTCTGTCTATTAACTTTGACATTCTTTTTCTAAATATTATATGCTAGAGTCAATTTGGACTAACAGCATTTTAATTCTAAATTATATTTTAAAATGTAATTGAGGCAATGACGCTTATATATATGATTTTAAGGACTACTAGAAGTCTAGAACTCAATTCAATATCCTACTCGATGAATTAGCCATTTAAATTGTCTGAATACAATAATTGTAAGCGGAAAATTACAAAACTTACATAAAAAAGCTTTAAAGTTTTTATTTCCAAAATACCACCATTTTTTTATTTTCCCAAAAATATCGCAAAAAAATATATTAATTTTTCTAAAAATATAATAAACATAAAAAGTGATTTTTGAAGGTGTAGAATTTATTTATTTTAGGTTTGGGTTGACTATTTTTTTTTATTTTAGGTATAGTTTCTAAGGGTAGGGTTTAGTATTTAGGATTTAGTTTTGAATGTTAAAAGTTTTAGTTTTAGTATAGTGGCATTTTGGAATTTTATTATCATTTTAATGGTATTTTTGAAAAATAAACCTAATAACCTTATTTTTGGAAATCATTTTAGTGGTCTTTTTGGATTGCAAAAAACAAAATGTATTCAAGTAGATCACATTTTATAATCATTTTGTTATAAATATGAAATTATGACTTGTTACAATGCAAAAAAAAAAAAAAATTATAACAAAGACAATGACTCTTAAGTTCCAACTAATAATAGACACGGATGCTAAAAATTGAACATATTATATATAACAATAAAACTCAGCATACAAATGCATGTACGATTCAAACTCTTTGTTATTTTCAATGTATCTTTCTCTAAGGTTTACAAATAGAAATTTTAGCGTTAGACGGGAAATCAAACTGATACAACACCCAAACAAGTCCTAATGAAGACGCAAGCACAGGTAATGGTCCAAACATCCAAAGCAACAACGGGACAGAAACACACATAACTCTGTTCCCAACCATAGCCATAAAAAACCCTCTCTCAAGCACCAATCTTGTATACTCCCTAAACGAAGTTGTCCCCGTAATATCGAAACCGCAATCGCAGTCTCCTTCGGACTTCTTAGCAATCGCGTTGATTAGGAAAATCGCGTCCATTAAATAACTCACGGCGAGTGAGCTAAAGAAGAAACTAGCTGCTAGAAGCAAGGATGCAGAGGCATATTTTAGGACGAATACTTTAGCGTTTTGTGAGCCGAGGAAGATGTCGTCGGCCGCGGTAATGAGATGACTCGCTTTATATGCGTTGTTAGTTACCGCGGCTAGAGAAAGGAAGATAAGAATGGCGATTGTTGCGGTTAGAATTGTCACCATTTTTTTGTTCCTTAAGCTTTGTACAGCCAACATACCAGTCTTGTCGTCACCCTACAATTTTAAATAAACAAATTAAGAACAAATGACTAAAATAGTTTACATGTAATAAACTATTGTCTTTGTTAATTTACATGTAAATAAAATGGGTTTGTAATATGTAAACACAAACGCCAATCATTCTATTTTGCGTTACATTTTTTTTTTCTTCTAAATTTTTAAAACCATAAAAGTATGTTATGTTTACATTTTTACATATTTTCATATTTATCAAAAAATCAAGTCGGTTAAGACATTAGGGATTTGATTTTTTTCAAAAAAAAAAAAAAAAATTTCTTTGTGTTTACATGTCAATCATTTTTTTGTTCCAGAAGATATTTGTATTTACAATAAACATTTATCTTTATGTATGTCATTTAGTGCGCTTTCGTTTACAACTAATAAAGATGTATTTTTGTGTCAAAAACTAAGAATTAGATTCTTGTTTTAAACATAAAATGAATGTGTCTATATATGTTTGCACTACATATTTTTATTCATCTTTTGAAATTTCTGAGCTCAAACATAATTAAATAAACATTATTTTCGCCTAAGAATATTTGAAAAAAAAAAAAGAATCCATTACAAAAAAA